AGTTTTTAAAATCAACACTTTCTAAATGGAAACTTCTTGACCAAATGTCTGTCACAAAATTCTGAGACCCATTAAAACAAAGTTTAATGAGAAAAACAAAAGAACAAAAAACCCACAAAAAATAGATGTTAAGTCGATGTTTAGTTGAATTTCAAACACTATGCATACCACTTGTCGGGAACTCATCCTCTCAGGAACAGTATCTAAGTGATGGTCGCTAGGTAAGTCCCACGATGAGTAAAATGAATTCACTTCTGAAATCTTGACCTCAGAGGCCACTGTTGCCGCTGTCACCTCTTGGTCACATCTGTGGCACCCTCCAAACCCTCCTCCCTAACGTCTAGCAGAGGAGCGTTTGCCTTGTTCCCTCTCGCTGTAACACTTACTGGATTCGCTGCTGCACCCTTTCTTCACTGCATGTTTGGGTAACACAGCTCACCGGTGCGCACGGATCTCCCGACAGCTGCATGATCACAGAAGCCCATGGCTCGGGCCTGTGGACCCACCCCCGTCTCGTTCCTTGGCTTTGACAGAGTAGATCCAAGCGGCACGACACAAAGCTGCGCCTGAGCTCTTAGTAGATGCCCGTCCCTGGCAACAGTGGGTCCGCGTTATCCACAGCCTGCTCTTGCTCATAACCACAAAGCGTGGCGGAGAAGGCGCACTGGCTCACCCTGGATTAGGCTGAACCCTGCCTGGACGCTATAGAACAGACACCAGGGTATCCCTGGGAAGGTCCTCCTGGGCTGCTGTCCTGCCGGTACGTTATAGAGGGATGAAGAAAACCTGCGTGACTTTCCCACGCACAGCCTACAGCTGTAACTCCAAGGTCTGGGCTTCTTCTTGTGGCCCAGGCTGCCCCTGAACTCGCCACGCAGCCCATCCTGGCCTCAGACTCGTGGGGAGGGTCTAGGCTTTATTCACCTGTGCACCCCTCACCTCTGGGTACCCATTCCCAACAGGTACCCAATGTCCAGCACCGTGACCCCTGATAGGAGGAACTAAACACATAAACACATGGTCACCAACACGGGATGGATAACTTCACACTTTTATTTTCTTTTTTCAATTCAGTTCAATCCCAGTCTAGCAACTTAGTAAGACCCTGTCTCAAAATAAAAATATTTTTAAAAGGACTGAGGACATAGGTCAGTACGAAGGCCCTGAGCTTAATACCCCGTACCCCACTTCCCCCAAAGCTCAGCTCAGCTCAGCTCAGCGTACTTAAAGAACAAACAGATGAAACACGAGACTGTCCCTTTATCAGGGGAATGAACAAATCAAAGTGATTGCTCAGCTGGGTACAGTGGCACACACCTGTGATTCCAGCTCTTCAGGAGGCTGAGGCAGGAAGAACACAAGTCTGAGGCCAGACTGGCAGAGGGCAGCACGGGTGTGCAGTGCGGCTGTGCGCAGCCATGCGTGGTGCTAGGCTAACGTCAGATAGCCTGCTCTTTGGCGCTAGGCTGTCCTGAGTGGGAAACCATCACATAATGTGGAGCAGGGCAGCAGTATGACCAGAACCATGTCTTAGGGAGGAGTTTGTCCAGGCAGAATGAAAAATGAAATGAATTGTGCAGTTTTTTATTGTTTGAGACAGGGTCTTACTATGTGGTCCAGGCTGGCCTAGAACTCTTATAGATTCTCTTGCCTCAGCTGCCTGAGTGTTGGGATAGAGTTGTGTGTTACACCCATCTCCTGAGCCTTTTTTTTTGTTTCTAGTACGGGGATTAAGCCCGGGAAGTACGAAGCTACATCCCTAATCCTCTTTCTTGAAATCACTGGAAAAAAGTAGGGTGAAGGAACCTGAGCAACTTTTAAAACCAGTGCGAACACCGGACAACTTTTAAAGACCAATGCAAACAAGGGAAAGCGCTCCATCTGGTGCTGTGATCACCTCTAGCAGAAAGTCAAAAGGAACAGACCAAGCCAGGCGTGGTGGTGCACGCCTGTAATCCCAGCACTTGGGAGGCTGAGGCAGGAGAATCGTTGTAATCATTGCCCATCCTGGGCTACAAAGTGAGCTCAAAGCCAGCCTGAACTGCAGAGTGAGACCCTGTCTCAAAAATAAAAATAGAAAAAGAAAGGAACAGAGCACTGAGGAGGCGGGGGGTGCATTTGAACGCGAGTGCTTGGCTGCTGTGTAAGAAGCCCTGGGTTCGATCCCCAGCACCACAAAACCAACCAACCCGCCGAGAAGACAGGGGTCCAGGGTGACTTCCGTATTTTACTGCTCTCGTCTGCTAAGAGTCTCAGTGACAACAATGACAAAAAGGTTCCGAGAAGAGGAGAAGCAGAAGCCCGTTTCCAGAGAGCTCCACGCTGGGCGTCAGGAGATAGAGGAAGACGGCCGGGGGCTGGAGCTCTGTGGTAGAGCACTCACCTAGCACGCGGGAGCGCCTGCGTCCAATCCCAGTACCGCGGATACAAAAAGAAACTGGGAGAAGCCAGGACGGACTGCAAAGGGTCCCTCCAACACTGCTGACTGAAAATGCCCAGGCCCTAAATCCACGGGACAGCCCGGCAGGCTAAGGCTCGCATCCTCTAAGAATAGATTCCGGTCCTCCCAACTCGGACTTAAACTCAGCATCTAAAACCACATCCAGCTCTACGCCTCGGCCTGCGGCTCTTCATCGTCCTCATCTTCATCCTCAACCTGATACCGCCTCTTCTTGGGGGTCACGGGAGCTCCCGGGTCTGGCGCTGCGGGCACGACGGGGAGAGAGGGCGCAGCTAAGTACGCGGACGGGAAACAGGGGAGCCTGTCTCAGACTGAAGACAGAGATGAGAAGAAAAAGACCTGTACCTTGGCTTCGGCCCTCATCTCCCTCCTCCTCCTCCTCACTGCCCAGCAGTTGTCGCTTCCTGGGCGCCACCTTCAGCTGCTCGTTCCCATCAGCAGCTCCGTCCTCTAAGGTAACCAGAAGAGGCACAGAATTAGGGAGCTGGGCCCGCAAATTCTCGCAATACCCGCTCATCCACTATGGCTGGCACAAGTAAGTCGTCAGCAGGGCAGCGGTCACACTTTACCCTCCTCCAGGGACACCAGTCCTTTCTTTTTACGAGCCACCAAGAGGGCCCTGAGGGCTTCTGCCCGGTTCTCTCGCTGGTCCTCCCCACTGGGCCCTTGCTCCGCAGGAACGCGCGGCTCCAACTCTGGCTGCGGCTTCTCTTCTTCCTGCTCCATCCGCGGACTCAAAGACGCAGCCACTCTGCGGAGCTGGGCGGGGCTCAACTTGGCTGGGATGCGCCAGAAGGTTTCCTGCAGGGACAAGGCACAGGGGTCAGGCCTGGCGTGCGCAGCCCGCACCTCCCAGCACTCCAGGAGGCTAAGGCAGGAGGATCATAAATTTGATCCCAGCCTAAGCAACTAGCATGACTCTGTCTCAGAATAAAAAATAAACAAGGGCTGGGGACGTAGATCAGTGTGAAGGCCCTGGGTTCACTCTCCAGTACTGCCACCTAGCATCCCTGAAACGGCAAAGGGGGTGCTGGGGATTTAGCTCAGGGGCTGGGGATTTAGCTCAGTGGCACAGTGCCTGCCTGGCAAGCACAAGGTTGTGAGTTCGATTCCTGGTAAAGGAAAAAACAACAACAACAACAACAAAAAAAGAAGAAACGGCAAAGGGGGTGCTGGGGATTTAGCTCAGGGGCTGGGGATTTAGCTCAGTGGCACAGCGCCTGCCTGGCAAGCACAAGGTTGTGAGTTCGATTCCTGGTAAAGGAAAAAACAACAACAACAACAACAAAAGAAGAAACGGCAAAGGGGGGCTGGGGATTTAGCTCAGCGGCAAAGCTCCTGCCTGGCAAGCGCAAGGTCCTGAGTTCGGTTCCCGGTACCGGAGAAAAACCAAAAAAAAAAAGAAACGGCAAAGGGGAAGGATCAGCCTCTGTTCACTGAATTTTTCTATTAGTCACTGAATAAATAAGACCCCACGTTAGTGAAGATCACAGGGGTTGTGAATTCTACTTGCTGTCTGTCCATAATGTATACCCACTATCTAGCACCGTGTCTGCTACATGAGGAGCTCCCAGGAAATACAGTTGGTGACTAAATAAATGAATGGATTCTGGTGATCTAAAGGTGAACCCCATACAATCTTTGTTCTCAAGAAACTCAATCCAATGGGAGAAAGAATGAATGTGACAAAAAAAAAAAAAAAAAAAAAAAAAAGGAAGCAAGAATAAATGTGCTGTAATACTTATTGGGTTACGGCTGCATCAAAGTAACGACAAAGGGGCCAGAGGTGGGGCTCTGCTGTGGGACCTGCACTTTGTTGTTGTTTTTTTTTTTTTTGGAGATATGGTCTCACTATGCAGTTCAGGCCTTGATCTCACTTTGTAGCCCAGGCTGGCCTCTAGCTTGTGGTGATCCTCCTGCCTCAGCCTCCCGAACATTGGGATTACAGGTATGCCAAGGAATTACTTTTACTTCAAGGATTAAAAGAGTAACAGGGATTGTTTCTGAGGAAATGACAGCTGAGCTGACTCCTGGGCTGAGGTTCAACAGGAAGATAGGTGGGGCGAGAGCGTTCATGTGTGTGTTTGTCACCATGCTTGTACGGTTGGAGCTCTCCGAAGAGGCATTGGCATGATCACTGTTTACAGTCAGGGAAAAGCCCACCACGTGCAGGGACATCAGGTGTAAAGCAGGCGTGTGGTGGAACGGCTGGCAGCCTGCAAAGGCTGCCGTGCCATCTGGTTGTGGACCGTCAAGTGTTCTAGAAGAGTCAGTGACCTCAGGAAAACTGTATTTTAAATACTGTACAGGAAGTGGAGGGAGCCGGGCGTGGTGGCACACTCCTGTAATCCCAGCACTCAGGAGGCTGAGGCAGGAGGATTGCTGAGAGTTCGAGGCCAGCCTGGGCTATTTAGTGAGTTGAAGGCCAGCCCGAACTGCATAGCGAGACCTTGTCTCAAAAAGACCAAAAAAAAAAAGAGGAAAGGGAAATGAAATTAAAAAAGATAAATCAAGGGGGTGGTACAGAACATGGATTTGGGGGAGGGAGACTGCAGAGAGAAGACCAGCAGGACAGCTGCTGGGCGAGACAGAGAGGATGGCAGTGGACACGGACCAGCACGCCCGGCTGGCACCCCGGCCGGGCACTTGCCTGCACAGAGGCGGGCGGCCGGATCCCTAGCTTGCGCAGCAGCTGCTGAAACTGCTCGTTTTCCATGGCTTCCTCACTGTCCTCCGTCAGCGGCACCAGTGGAACTGCCTGGGAGCAGCCTAGAGCAGGGCCAACAGTCACACGCGAGAACGGACCGGCCCTCGTCCCCCGGCCTCCTGGGCTCTGAAACCACCGTCTCCACTCACCGTCCTCCTCCCGGTCATCTGCTGCTCGAACCAGGCAGCTCTGGAGCCACAGCAGTGGGGCGGAAAAGCCTGAGGGGAAGAGGAAGCGTGTCCCGTCCGTGTCCACCCCACCCTCCGCCGCTCTCCACCGAAGTCCTCACCTTCCCGACGCAGGCCCTGGCCGAGGTTTTCAGCTGAGGGGACTGGGTGACCGTGGGCTGGTTCTGCTTCCCAGGACTCCTCTTCCTCCTCCTCCTCCTCCTCACTCTCCTCCTCTGGCAAGTTCTCCTCCTCTTCCGGATCTTGCCAAGAATCTTTCAGGGACTCTTCCCCATCCGGCTGGGAGGCATGGGGCGGCGGAAGATGAAAAGGAGGCAATGTGAGACGTGAGGTGAGGTGCGTGGTGGAGCGTGCTCGCCTCCCCTCTGCAGGGGCCTCGGCAGGACAGCCTGAGGCAGGAGGAGCCCCGCGGCCGCTCCTGAGAGCGCCTCAGGCGGATGGGCCCAGGCCAGCAGAGCCAAGGCGAGACGGTTACCGTGCACGACTGCGCCAACTTCTTCTTCCGTTTCTTGTACAGCTCCCGCCGCTCAGCCACCAGCCCCAGGGCCAGCAGTTTGTCCACGATTCGAGCCCTTGAGCGTTTGGCTGTGATATTCTTCATGATATGGCCAAGGACATCTATGGAGAGGGAGTGTGTGAATACCTGAGAGCTACTGCAGAAAGGGATTAGTAAAAAAAAAAAAAAAAGTCAGGGGTCTCTGGACAGATGCTAGCTCAGCTCAGCCCAACTGACACAAATACAGAAGCGGACAGAACGGATGGGACAGGCTGCCCAGGAAGTAAGAGGAAGGGAGGAGGAAGTGGACGGCATGGCTCTCATCTCCGCTGCTCCTCGGGCTTCCCGCTCACTCACCATCTGAGCCCTGGAACTCCTCAAAAAGCCGCTGCAGCTCCAGCTCCTGGTCTTCTGTCCACAGTACGATATGGATCCCCTTCCTGTTGAGGGAGGTGTTGGCAGAAGAGCAGGTCCGGGGATGAACCGAGGAGTTCCCATCCCCATTCCCTCCAAAGCAGAAGCCTCTACCTCTGGAAGTCCTTGGCACTGCCAGCCAGTCCCAGCCGCACCAGATGGTGGACAACCTGCTTGCGCGTCCGAGCCGTACTCAGCTGGGCCAGGATGGCGTCCACCACATCCTGACCTGCGGAGGAGAGGGCGCGAAGCGGTGAAGGTGGATCCTGGAGCTTAGGCTGCTCCCCTCAAACTCTCCAGCTTGCAAGGCCTCACACCTTCCACATCCTTGTGGGTGAGATACAGTTCCCGAAGCTGGGCCTCCTCCTCCAGGCTCCAGGCCGCAGCTCTGCACCCGGAAGACCTGAACAGTGAGAGGGGAAGGGGTGTATGGAGGCCCCAACAGGGGAGACCAAAGGCCCTCGGTGAGCCGTTCAGAAAGGAACAAGAAAAGGGAGACAAGTAACTCCGCGGAGCCAGCTAGTAGAGGTCTAACGTGGGGCATCCTCTTCACTCGCCTTCCACGTAAGAACCCCCATGTTAGCTGGGCGTGGTGGCACACGCCTATAATCCCAGCACTCGGGAGGCTGAGGCAGGAAGATCATTGAGAGTTCGAGACCAGCCTGGGCTACAAAGTGAGCTCAAGGCCAGCCTGAACTACATAGCGAGACCCTGTCTCAAAAAGACCAAAAAAAAACCAACCCCAATGTTAAATTGAGATTTCCCAGCCCAGGCCTATGGACCTGAAACTCCAGGGACTGACAGTTACGGGAAGCAGAGAAGCTGAGACACACGGGAAGAGGACACACGTGTCTGCGAGTCCTTCCGGTTTCCCAGCGCATTACAGAGAGGTGCATCCACACGCGGGGGAACCACGACCACTCCCACCAGCAACCCCCCCTCGGTAAGCCTGTGACAGAGGAAAGCACAGCGGACAGGAGACCTGGGCTCCAGGCCCTGCTCCTCTGTCGGGTAAAAGATACGCAGTTCACCTCCTGGGCCTGTTTCTCACCTCAGAAAGGGAAAGGAGCAGTACATCACACGATCTGCAAGCCTTCCAGCTGCCACCTGTGGGACTGTGCTCCCTCACCTCCGCCCACCCTTCCCGCCCAGTCACCTGCCGTCCAGGGAGCCGTAGCCCTCGGTCATCTCTCGGACCACAGCGGTGTTCTTCCAGAACAGCAGCTCCACAAAGGCCTTCTCGTTGACCGCGGCCAAGGCGAAGAACTTGGCGAGGATGTACTTGGCGAAGGTCACGAGCTCCTACAGGGAAGGCAGCTGCTGACGCCTCAGCCCCACAGACACACGGCCTGGTCCCCAGGTATTTTCTTCCCACCTGTCCGCAGCTGCTCTCTGCTCACTCAGACTCTCTTCTTTCTCTAATTTTTTTTTTTTTTTTTTGGTTTTCTTGAAACAGGGATCTCGCTATGCAGTTCAGGCTGGCCTTGAGCTCACTTATGTGGCCCAGGCTGGCCTTGAACTCACAGCAATCCCCCTGCCTCAGCCTACAAACTGCTCAGATTCTCTCTTTTGCTCTTCCTGGGCAGCTCCCTCAATCTGCCTGCAAGCCATGTTCGCCTCCCCGCTTCTACTTCCTGAAGAGCATCCCCAGCCCCGCGCCACATTCCCTGGTAGCCTCTTACTTTGTAGGCTCCAGCAGCAGGGTCACTAAGCAGACGATTGAAAAGGAAGAAGACCGAGAGCTGGAAGAGCAGGGCTTCCATTTTGAGGTCATGGGCCAGCCGGTGCAGCATCTTGACAATGCAGTGGTTGGTATGGGCGCTGTTCTGCCGGTAGCTCCGTAGCAGCAGCACGTAGGCACGCACGACGGTTGAGCATGCAAAGCTGCACCGGGACAGGAAGGGAGAGGGGGTGAGCATCACAAAGACACCAGCCACCCTCGAAGACGCACCATCGCCACCCTGGGAGCAGCTCGGCCTTGGTGCGCACCGTTTCAGGTAGTCCAGAAAGTTAAACTCTTTCTCTGACACCTGCACAACTTGCAACTCCTCTTCTTCCTCCTCCTCTTCCTCCTCCTCCTCTTCTTCCATACCTCCTTCCTCTGTGCCCTGCTGCCCTATACAAAGAGTGAAGATTAGCCAGGTGTGGTGGCACGCACCTGTAATCCTAGCACTTTGAGAAGCTGAGGCAGGAGGCCCTCAAATTTGAACCCAGCATGGAAAATGTAGTGAGACCCTCTCTCAGAATTAAAGAAGGGCTGAGGAAGTCGCCTGGTGTGAAGTGCTGGGCTCAATCCCAGCACTGGGAGAGAAGGAGTGAGGACTACTGGGTCTCCACAATGCTGGTGCTGGAGCACAGCTGACACGAGAGCTGCAGAGACTCACGAGGAAGCGGGGCAGACAGGATCTGTTTCAGCAACTGCATCTCTTCCTCTAGAGAAACGTCTGGAAAGCCAAACACACCTCCTTCCGGCCACACTTCCCTGGAGCCAAAGGAAAAAGGCTTTAACTACAGGAAACAGGAGTTGTACTTAGAAGGGGAGAAGGGCCGGGAATGGTGGCACACGACTGTAATCCCAGCACCAGAGAGGCTGAGGCAGGGGGATCTCTGAGTTCAAGACCAGCCTGGGCTACAAAGCGAGCTCAAGGCCAGCCTGAACTGCATAGTGAGACCCTGTCTCAAAAAAGACAAAAAAAAAGAGAGAGAAAAAAAAGGATGGGAGAAGGAACTTAGATGTATTTCATTTGTCAGCCAGAAAAAGAATCCACACTGCCGTCACAGAGATGAAACAGCCTCCAAGAAAACTTTCCTCATACACCACAGCACAATGAAAATCATGTAAGAGCAAAACACAAACAATCTAAACGCTGCTACGCAGACAGCAAACGCACGTGTGTCCACAGTGGGGTCTGACAGTCACCAGCAGTCACAGAAGTGCAACCAATGAGCGATGATGCTTGAAATACATTGCCAAGTCAAGACATACTACTGAGTCAGCACCTGCGCTTTCCCTCTTCACCGAGGGTGCGTCGCGTCTGCACACGACCGACTCAGGGAGGTTACCCATCAGAACGGGTAGGAGGATTTTCCTCAGCCAGTAATTTTTTTTCCCCCTCTCCAATTAACTGTGGTTTCTAATATTTCTCAAAAACAAACCAGAAAACCCCAATAAGCCGATCAGAGCTCCTAGAAGTCCGCGCTCAGCTCTGGGTCCTACGGCCCGACAGGACGTCTCTCTGCGGAAGGCTGAACGCTGCACCAACGCGAAGGCTCCCGAAACCCGGGCGGGTGCCGGGCGGGGCTCTCACCGGGCGGATCTCAGGAGGGTCAGAGCCTGCGGGGCCCGGCCAGCCAGGAGACAGTCTTGGATCCTCACCATGGCCTCCACCCGCTGCTCTTCTACTGGGGTCTCTGAGGCGGCATCAAAGGGGACCACGGAGTCTACGCTGAGCTCAGGATCCTGGAGAGGGAGAAGGCTATTTGTCTTCCCATACCCGTCATCTCACAAAAGCGGGGTGTCCACACCACCTACCTGGGCACAGCACTGCAGCTGCTCAGCCAGTCCTGGCCACAAAGCCTCCAGCTCCTCTGCGCTGTGTGGGACATCACCAGAAGCTACAGTCTGGTCAGGAACCTTCTTCTTCTTCTTCCTCTTCTTTCGTTTGTTCTGTGGGGGAAAGAAGTGTATGACCATGGCGGGAGAGCTAAGGAAGTCTTTTCCCCTCAGTGTTGTCTCTGTTACAAAACTAAGCAGGTGTGGCGGTGCATGCCAGTGATCCCAGCATTTGGAAGGCTGAGGCAGGAGGATGGCCACAAGTTTGAGGCCAGCCTGGGTTCCCAGTGAGTTCAAGGCAAGTATAGAGTACATAGCAACACCCTGTCTCAATAAAACAAAACTAACTTGTTTAGTGGGGATTTACAAAGTGCCCCGTATGTGCAGTTTACAGGCAGCAGGAAGCCACAGCGAGCAGGGTATTTCTGTGCCCCTAAAGAGCTTGCATGCTAGTGGGAGAGACAGGTAAGTCCAAAGGAAATTACACTACAGAGTGGGAAGAGCAATGCGGGTAAGCATAAAACGCCATGGCGTGGGCCAGGGATATAGCTCAGTGGCACAGCGCCTGGCTGGCAAGCGCAAGGTCCTGAGTTCGATTCTCAGTACCAAAAAAAAAAAAAAAAAAAAAGCCATGGCGCATTAAAATGCCTATTTCCTGGCGTAAGAGACTGCCAAAAGCAGTAATTTTTTTTTTTTCTTTTGGTACCAGGAATCAAACTCAGGACCTTGCACTTGCCAGGTAGGCGCTTGTGCTGCTGAGCTATGTCCCCAGCCCCTTTTTTGGTCTTTTTGAGACAGGGTCTCACTATGCAGTTCAGGCTGGCCTTGAGCTTACTTTGTAGCCCAGGCTGGTCTCGAACTCACAACGATCCTCCTGCCTCAGCCTCTCTAGTGCTGGGATTACAGGAGTCCGCCACCATGCCTGGCTACGTGAAAATTTTAGCACTGTGTTGATACACAGAAAATTGTGAATAAATGATAGCACCTATTATTACTGATAATACCATAGAGCCCTGAGTGTAAAATACCTTTTAACAAAGTACCCTTGGCATTGCTGCCTCTCTCAAGTCTAGTTCGGATAGTTTTATTTTATTTCACTCAGTTCAGGCTGGCTTTGAACTCACTAAGTAGCTCAGGGTGGCCTCAAACTAATGGTAGTTTTCCTGCCTCAGCCTCCTGAGTGCTGGGATTACAGGGGTCTAGCACTCCATCTGGCCAGACAGAATTTTAAACTGTAGCAACTAGAATTATAGGTCGGTTCTGGGGGATGATGTGTTTTTACAGAGCAGAGTCCCTTTGTTTCCAGCATACAAATTTCTTGGTATTTTCTTTTTGTTGCAGGTTTCCATTATTCTATTTCAGACTCGAGGGTAGCCCCGAGCATTGAATCCAGGGCCTTTATGCTGAGCTACATCCTCAGCCCTTTTTTAACCTTTGAGACAAGCTCTGGTGAGGCTGCCAAGGTGTATGTTACAGCTCCTATCTAGGGGTCTAGAGAGACTGCAAGCTCCGCAGGCTTATCCATCAGTAACTCAGTACAGCAGGCTCCCGCTCCTCCTGTCTTCCAACAGCGGCTCTCCTCATCTCACCGCAGTGCTTCTGGAGTGCAACCAGGAAACGCGGTGGGCCTGCAACGTCCTGCAAAGGCTCATGCGCAGAAGACCGTGCCCCAATGATCAGAGGCAGGACTTTGGGGAAGTGACTGGATCACAAGGGCCCTGACCTCTTTGAGGACACTGATGGTTCATGACTGAAAGGAGTACTGAGAGGCAGTGGACACTGTAGGAGGTGGGCCTGGGTGGAGGATTTAAGTCATGAGCAGTGGGCCCTGGCCGGGTGTGTCTTCCTCCTGCACCTCCGCCATCCTGGTCTCCCTAGGTGAGCTGCTGTGGCCCACCTGTGCCCTTCTGTCATAGGCCTCACCACAGGCACAGCAGCACCACAGCTAAGCAGCCCCGGGCTGGAACCTCCGAACTGTAAGCCAAAATAAAATGTTCCTATTGTTTTTCTCAGGTGTTTTATCACAGCAGTAGAAAGCTGACTAGTTACTAAACTCTAAAATTATGTCTCGCCAGGGGGTGTGGTGGCCCACGCTTGTAATCCCAGCACTCAGGAAGCTGAAGCAGGAGGATTGCTGGGAGTTTGAGGCCAGCCTGGGCTACAAAGTGAGTTCAAGGCCAGCCTGAACTGCACAGTGAAACCGTCTCAAAAAGACAAAAATTTAATTAATTAAAATTATAAACCTTAGGGGCTGGGGATTTAGCTCAGCGGCAAAAGTGCCTGCCTGGCAAGCGCAAGGTCGTGAGTTCGGTTCCCGGTACCGGAGAAAAACCAAAAAAAAAAATTATAAACCTTAAAGCTTTATGTGCTTTAGCACACAGTCAGTATTCAAAAAATGTCTCTTGAATGGATGAAAATATTTATGGTAAATCAGGGATAACCCCAACGGGAGAAGGAAATTGGCAGATTCACGCCCTCGCGGTTCAGAGCAGTCCTAACCGATCCGTTTAAACTACATGCTGCGGGAGGAGCCCTCAGCCAACGGCACTTTCAACACCCTGGGCCTGCACACACCTGGACCATCAGGCTCCCACGGCTCCGACAGAATCGCTCCAGCATCTTGAGGAAGAGGTGGGTGGTTTCCACCAGGTCACGCAGGAAAGAGCGGGGCTGGCACCTCTCGTCAAACTTCCGGAAGAGGGTGAGGAAGAGCTCCCGGTACTCCATCACATAGAAAATGTTGTCTAGGGAGCGAGAGCACAGGGAGTGGGAGGGCTGCCCGAAAGGCGTGGGGGCGGGGGAATCGAGTGAAACTGGGACTGGGACGAAGGAGACTGCAGTAGCGACGGGAAGGCTGGGGCCGGGGACTGGCCAGGGCCTCACTCTTGATGATGCGGCTGCTCTCCCGCACGGCCGCCTCTGCGGACAGGTCCATCTCGTTCACTGTGGCCAGCAGCTCCTGATAGGCCGTCAGAGCCAGGTGCATCCTGCGAATTGAAGCCAAGAAGTGAAACGGGGGACGTCTAGGGCCCTGGCTCATGGAAACGCCGCTGCTCAAAACGTGCCACCAGAAAATGACCCTGCCAGTCCTCAGTCCCCGCCCGACTCCTTCAGTCCTGAATCAGGAAGAAAGCACCGTGCGAAGTGCAGGCGTCGGGACTCCCAGCCTGGCCAGGACGCCCGCCGCAGCCTCAGAACCACGCCTCACCGGCACGCCCAGGATCGCGCTTCCTTGCGGTCCGTCAGCATCATCTCATAGTAGCTGGTGAGGTTCCGCTCGATGAAGTGGAAGGAACGGATGCTGAGCGTCTCCGAAACCAAGGCTGGCCGGAAGGAGGCGGCGCGGTTGAAAGCCATGAAGAAAGCCAAGGCCCACATGTAGTAGGTCTCGTCGTGCTGCTGAGCTTTCTCACGAAGCAGGTGATCCTAGCGTCCAAGAAAAAAAGACTATCATGACCTCAGGGTTCCAACGTCCTCCTGTCCCCGCTCCCGTGATGACGGGGAGGGGCCGAGACATCACCGTACTAACTCTGTAGGACGCAGAATTCCTAATTTTCCCACGTTCTGCTTAGGTCTCTCCACAGCCCCTGCCTTTCTTCTGCGGAAACGCCTCCGGAGCCCTTTCCCTCCAGCGCATCGCCCAGCCTCTGCGCACTGTCGCCATCCCTGCCGGGCCCTGTCTGCGTCCTTGCCCACACCCCAGGCTCCAGTTCACTCTTCTTCCCCATCAACGGCCTGTCCCCTCTCTGCGCCACCAACTGCCTCCGCGTCTTCCCGGTTCTCACCTTCACCGCGCCCATGAGCCGGTTGTAACAGTTCTCCAGGAACTCAGAGCAGAAGTCTCTAAGGAACAGCCTCACATTGAGGGCGGAGCGGCGCTGCAAGGACAGCTCCTGGGCAGCCTGGCGGCGTTTAGGGACCCTGCGGGGCTGCTTGCCCAAATCAGAACTGTAGTTTTGGAGCTGAGGGTGCAGGTTGGAGAATTAGAATTACTCCTAACTACCACCGTCGCCCTGCGGCTCCTGCCACATCCCTGGCACTACAGTTTTCTCAGAAGGAACTCTCCGACAGTTCTCTGCCTCAGGTACTAACTAAAGACAATGTGGAGGCAACATGGCTAATGCGACACTGCTTCTTTTTCCTGCCATCACCAACTTTCTACATCTAAGAACAGAGATGTTGAAGGGTGTGGTGGCGCACACCTGTAATCCCAGCACTCAGGAGGCTGAGGCAGGAGGATCACTGTGAGTTCAAGGCCAGCCTGCACTACACACTAACTGTCTCAAAAAAATAAATGAAAAAAAACAGAGATGCTTTGATCCCGGGGATGGTGACCCTTCTCGGGCCCTGCAGCTCTAGAGTTCCTCCCCCAGATGTGCAAATACTCACATTGTGCAGGCCTTTGTGAAAGATGACATCCCTGTCCCCAATGGATTTCAACCCCTGGACAATGTAGGAGCCCCCAAACTGAGAATGCCTGTAGAGGAGAGAAGTCCAAGGTGCTTCCTCAATCGTCTGGAAGCTTTAACCCACTCTCTTTCACCAGGAGCTCTGGAGGAGTTCAAGATTGGCGCTGTTACCCAGCCTCCACTGGCTCAGACTCGGCCCCAGGCGTGCGGCACTCCCTGCTGCAGGAAGGGCACAGGCAGCGCGCGCTCCGCCACATACCTGTTGCCCCGCTGCAGGGCCCGCGCCTTCTTTTCTGCCATCTCTCGCTGGCGCAGCACCTCCAGTTCTGCCACATCCGCGCTCCGCTCCTGAGCTAAGCGCCCCCGCCCTACTTTCGCCAGCTGCTCAGGGTTCTAGAAGAAGGACAGGAGCGTCAGAAGGACGGTCATCCCTACTCCTGACCTCACTCCGACTGGGGGCAGAAAGTGGACAGAACAAGACTTGGATGCGACCCTGTACCGAAGACAGGGACACTACCCGTCACCTGCCTTCCCCAGAGAAGTCAGCCACTGTTAGAAGACGGAGTCCGGCTGTGTAGCAGGAAAGCACATGGACGGGGGGACGGGGGCTGCGGGCCAGGATCTCACCTGGTCACGAAACATAAGAGAGATAACTTCTAGCACATGCAGGCTCCACTGCTGCTCGGCAGGAGAGCTGGCCAGGAAGAGGAGCAGGTCATCCAGGCCGCTGAGGTGAACTGCCCAGAGGAGCTGGTCATGGACGCTGGCGTCATCATCGATCCTCTGAGCAACAAGGGGTGAGGGAGACAGGGAGCACGCTCAGGCCCGGGCCTGCTTTGAGGTTGTCCAGCGCATCCCTCAGAGAAGCCTCCTGCCCCAGACTGGTCGCAAGATAGCAAAGCCTCACTAGGACAGTTTATCTGGGTAAGGCGGCGCACACGTATCATCCCAGAACTGGACAGGCTGAGGCAGGAGGATCAATGCAAGCTCTAGGCCAGCCTGGCTACACAGGGAGTTCAGGAGTTCAAGGCCAGCCTGATTTTAACTTCAAAAGCAAAAAAAAAAAGAGAAGAAAGAAAGAGAGGAAGAGGGAGGGGAGGGGAGAAAGAAAGAGACAATTCAACCTAACTCAGCAGAACTCAGATGACCCAGACCACACCTTCTCCTGGTCAAGGTCGGCTGGAACATGGAGAATGTTTCTGACCAGCAGCAGGATCCGCTCAATCAGCAGGTTGTCTTCCTCCTGCCGTTCCTCCCAGCCCTGCCGGGAAACAGAACGTCAGAGGGACGGGATCCCTGTGGAAGGCAGGCAGCGCCTCCCAGGCAGGAGGGCTGCGGTGCAGAAGAGAAGCGTAACTAAGAAAAGGATGAGTTCAAGAACTGCTGAGGCACCCGGAGACTACAGCTCGGGCCGCCGTGTCTCCAAGGCCCGCACTGTAGCTCCAGACCCAGCCCTTCCGCCTCAGCTCAGCACAGGTGCTCAGCACCGCCCGGGCCACAGGCTCCTGCACAGGGAGACTCACCAGCTGCAGCAGCTCATACAAGGTTTCACTGAGGACCCCAAAGGTCTTCTCATTGGCGAAGGCCTGCGAAGCAGAAAATGGCCCTTGTGTAGCGTCCATCCGCCTCCCCTCACTGCCCCCAACGCTGCTCCCGGGACTCCCAAGGAAGGTCTCACCTGCTTGTAGGCCTGCAGATAAGAGAGCACCTGCAGAAAGTGGTGCCGCAGGCCGGGCTCCTTAGGTACACCGCCGAAACACAGCAAGGCCGGCTGTGTCAGGTTCACCATGAGTCTGGGGAAAGCAGTGAAGGAGGGAGAAGCTGCTGGGTTTCCTTGTCAGGCACAAACACCAAAACTTAGCACAAACACAAACAGTGAAAATAAGAAAGTGCCAGGCGTGGTGGTGCTGTAATCTCAGCACTCGGGAGGCTGAAGCAGGAGGATCTTTTAGAATTTGAGGCCGGCCTGGGCTACAAAGTGAGCTCAAGGCCAGCCTGAACTGCACAGCCAGACCCTGCCTCAAAAAAAAAAAAAAAAAAAAAAAGAAGAAAAAAGAAAGCTGGGGAATGAACCTGATGACAGCGTCGAAGAGAGGCTTGTCCTGGCGGTGCTGGGTAAGGATGGGGAGAAGGTCACTCTGCAGGATCTGGGCGGCCCCCAGCTGCTGCCGCACATCCCGAGTCTCATCCTCATGCCTCAAGTAGCGGATCAAATCCTTCACGCTCTCTTCAGAGAAAGAACAAAACATGAACGAGAAATCCTGGAAGAAGCTCTACCCGAGCCCACCTGCTTTTCATACCTAGGATCTGAGAAACCTGACAGACTGCCTCAATGCCACCAAGGTTTCGCTTGGTTCTTTTTTTTTTTGGTTTTTCTCCGGTACCGGGAACCGAACTCACGACCTTGCGCTTGCCAGGCAGGCGCTTTTGCCGCTGAGCTAAATCCCCAGCCCCTCGCTTGGTTCTTCACGAAGTACTCACCTAGGCAATCGGGCTCCTTGTGGTACGTGTCTCCCTCCAAGTACCCAAGGGCACTGCACGTGGCGAGAAGTTCACAGTTCATCGTGTACAAGCCCACGCACCGGAGGGCCGGCCCGCAGAGAAACGGGGTGGAGACAGTCGGGACACAACGGTGAGGCCTGCAGAGACAGGGAGAGCCGAATGGAGGGTCCAAGGCCACCGCTGAGGATGCCTGGCTCCAACCCCAGCTCACTAAAAGGAGACCGCAGCCGCAGGCTCCACGCTCCTACAGTAAATGTCAACCTGAGGATAAGGTAGGTCTCCTGACTGACATGATTTACTACTTGGGGAAATATCTCCCAAGGTCCTGCTAAGATTCTGCTCAGATTCCCGGGTACCCTTCCGTATCTCTCTCCTTTGTTTGAAAACCAAACAAATACAGGCTGCCCAAAGAAGTTCTTTGTCTTAGCCCCCAGAGAATCTCGAATTCTTTTAGAGGGTTTTGAACCTCCTGGAGCCCTAGAATCATACCACTTGTCTCTTTTATTTAAGCCTTGATCGTCCACTCCTTTGGGAGACTGTAGGCCTGATCAGTCAAGAATACCTAAAGCAGCCGCTAAGGGATGACATGAATGCCTTAACCTACGACAAGGACAGATCGGGACAAGGGGCTAATGCTGACTATTCTGAGCAAGATCCTCAAACGCTTTGCTCGAGTCAGAACCCAAACTGCTGCACCCAGCGCCAAGGAAAGCTTTTCATTTTTATTTCTGCAGCACCGGGGATTGAGCCAAAGGGCCACATGCATGCTAGCTAGGCAAGCGCTCTATCGCCCAGCAACGCCTGCCCAGGTTTCTCCCTGTAAAATCAAAGGGATTCCAGCCTACAGGTTACGCACATTCCCGATTCTAACCTGGATCTGAACCTAGAGGAACAGCCTGTTTCCGAGCAAAAGCAACCACTTGGTAGGAAGCGTGGTTGCTAGAAAAGGGCATAAACTCCGACTGTCACCCTTCGGGAGCTCTGCAGCCTTGGGAGCGAGGCAGGAGCTGACTCCTCCCTCGAAATGGTCACACCCATGCCTTCCACCTGGGGCTCTTCTGCAGAGTCACAGCTCTTACTCTGAGCCACAGGAATTAAGGAAGTCCAGCTCCAACCACACAGTGATTACCCTTATGATCTGTTTGGTTTTGTTTTTTTGTCTTTATGAGACAGGGTCTCGCTATGCAGTTCAGGCTGGCCTTGAGCTCACTTTGTGGCCCAGGCTGGTCTTGAACTCACAAGGATCCTGCTGCCTCAGCCTCCCCAGTGACAAGCATGTGCCACCATGCCCGGCTGTCCTCAGGATCTGGTATTTCCTAGAAGCCCTGGGGTTTCCGAGGCCTTGGGGATGTGGAGATAAAAGTTTCCTCACTTTCCTCCCCAAAGTTATTCTTACTCTCGGTAATCTCAGTGGAAATCAGCGGCTAATAGAATGGGGAGGAAGGGAGCGATAGGAACTAATAAACTCCCTGTCACTCTCCCAGGAGAGCCACCATCTTTTTTCTGAAGCCTGTCCGCTTTCTTCAGACTCCTAGACGCTGCTGGGTAACCCCGCAGGTCCAGAATCCCAGACGTCTCAGAAGTGGATGCCGATAGCGCTGATGCGCACAAATGCGTAACATTCTTCACCCTGCTCCTGTGGAAAATCTGGAACATTCATCGATCTCACCCCCTGTGCATCTTCAGCTGCTCTGCTCCCTGTCTAAAAAGGCCTTTTTGCCGGGCGTGGTGGCGCACCCCTGTAATCCCAGCACTCGGGAGGCTGAGGCAGGAGGATCATTGCGAGTTCGAGACCAGCCTGGGCTACAAAGTGAGCTCACGGCCAGCCTGAAAGGCATAGCGAGACCCTGTCTCAAAAAGACAAAAAACATGGGGCTGAATTTACGTAACTGGTCTACTCAGCCCAGCGATACAGGGAGCCGTAAGACACGCACTGAGTAACCAGGAAAGCTACAAGGAGATTCCTGTCCTCGGGCCTTTCTCAGATCTGCGGACCCTGAGATGCGGTTCTGGTGGGCAGGTTCAGAGTAGGACATTCCTGACCCTCCTCCAAGGTCCACCCAGCTTTTGCAGAGGTCCCAGTGTGCATGTACACACGCCCATCCACACACAGGCGCACCCAGACCCCAGGGCTTCCGTCTACCGTCCAAGCGGAAGCTGAAAGACAGAGCAGAGCTAGAGATGTAGCTCAGTGGTGAAGTCCTTGCCTAGCATGAGAGACGCCCTGGGTTCAACCTCCAGTACTGCAAAACAAACAAAACTGAACAGCTGTGAAAATGCAAGCGAAGGCCGGGGATACAGCTCAGCAGCACAAGCGCCTGCCTGGCAAGTACAGGGTTCTGAGTTTGATTCCCAGGACCAAAAAAAAAAAAAAAGAAAATGCAAGCCAATACATTCTCCTCAAAGCAAGGCAGGCATCACACCGCGGCCCTGAAAGGTGTGAAATGATGTCTTCTGACGGGAGAGACACGCAGTAACTTCAGGCCTCGCAGTCACCCTCCCCCTTACCGTGGCGCCTCCACAGCAGACCACTTCTAAATAAGGATGCAGTACTTGTAAAAAGGGCCCCCGCAGAGCGCTCTAACTTCTGCTTTCACCACACCACTTTGCTTTAAAATAACACAGGTGGTGACAGCCACCCTGGTCACCAGAATAATAGGCAGAGGAGAAAGCAAAGGCGGTCGGAAGGAGGCCATGCTGGCAGCCGGGAGAAGGCAGAGGTTATGTAAAAGAGCCAGGACTTCTGGTTCTAATCTGCTGCAGTTCTGAGCAAAACACAGGCAACACAGAGGAAGAAATGGGTCAGATAATAAGGAGGGGAAGAAGGGTTGAAGGGAGGGTAGGGGAACAGGAAAAAAAAGAATCAAGGTATATCATGTACGGTACAAATTCCCTATGATGAATGTGATCATTACGTATACCTAAAATGTACCAATAAATTTAATTTAAAGAAAGAAAGAGGGGCTGGGGATTTAGCTCAGTGGCACAGCGCCTGCCTGGCAAGTGTGAGGTCGTGAGTTCGATTCCCAGTACCAGAAAAAAAAGAAAGAAAGAACAAAAAAGAAAGAAAGAAAAAAAGAGATCAGATCATCTATTTTCCAGGCCAGCCATCCCCATCCCTACACCTCCAGCCCTTGCAGTCTTAGGTCTAGTCATTGGAACTGTAATAAAAGAGCTTTCTTTCTTTCTTTCTTTCTTTTTTTTTTGAGACAGGGTCTTGCATTATAGTTCAGAGTAGCCTTGAACTCATGGCAATCCTCCTGTCTCAGCCTCTCAAGTGCTGGGATTACAGGTATGTATCACCCCTCCTGGCCTCCTTTTTGTTTTGAGGATCAGTATAGAGTTGATACTTTTAATTATTTTTATTTATTTTTTTTGAGACAGAGTCTCGCTCTGTAGTCTAGGATAGCCTAGCCCAGGCTGGCCTCAAACTCATGGCAATCCTCCTGCCTTGATTGTTTAGCACCCCAAGAAAGTATATAGGATTTGTTTCTTCCTTTAAGGAAATATATTATTATTTAAAACTCCCTTTTTTTGGAGACAAGGTCTCACTGTGTAGCGCAGGCTGGCCTCGGACTCACAGTGATCCTCCTGCCTCAGCCTCCTGGGTACTGGGGTACAGTTGTGTACCACCACACCAGTAGTTTTGGGGTTTTTTTTGGGGGGGGGTATTTTTCAGTAAAAACAGGAAAGATAGCTGGGCGTGGTGGCTCATGCCTGTAATCCCAGCACTTGGGAGGCTGAGGCAGGTGGATCACTGCGAGTTCGAGGCCAGCCTGGGCTACAAAGTGAGCTCAAGGCCAGTCTGAACTGCATAGTGAGACTGTCTGTCTCAAAAAGACAAAAACAAAAAAACAAAAACCAGGAAAGATAGCCACTGTCCACTATGGTGCCCCCAGATTTTCCTTTCCACTCCCCTTTCTCAGCTCACAGGAACTCTTTCCTAGGGAATTAATGGAGCAGAGAGTTGGGCTAGCTGAGAACGAATTCTGTTATAGATAGCTGAGTTATGCAGAAATATTTCAGGCAGTCAGACAAGGCTAGGTCCTCGAGGGTCAATATGAGAGATGAAAAAACATTACAACTGTGGCCGGAGGCGCATCTGTTGCAGCCAAGCCCTCAAGATAAAGACGGAATGACCAGGCCTACACGCTTCCCCAAAGCATAGGTGGTAAGACCTGGCCCAACAAAGTCTAGATAGGCATCATCACCTTGGTGGGTGGCCAAGATCCCTGGACCCATCCCCTTCCTGAAGTTCTTTGTTCTTTCCATGCGCACCTGCTACATGACCTGCTTCCCCACTGGATGAACATCACTAAGCAGCTACACTTACAATTTTACTGATCACGGCGTTAGCCCACGTTGTACCCGCCTCATGATTCTGCTCTATAAAACTGTCCCCTCCTGTCTCTCGCAGGAGCTGTCCCTCTCTAAATAAAATTTCCTACTCTTAACCTCTGCTGTTCCTTAGAATTCATTCTTCCAATCTGGGGAACACGGAACTCGGCATATCGGACACCTCGCAGGCTGGGAGTTACATTTACTTCCCCTATATAATCTGAAGAGCCTCTGTCACTTCACCGATGAGACAGAAACCTTTCCTCTTCCTTCAAAACCTACAGTCTCGCCGGGCATGGTGGTGTATGTCTGCAATCCTAGCCTGTAATGCCTGTAATACCTGAAACTTGTCTCAAAAAGACCCAAAAAAACAAACCTACAGTCTCTTAGTCTCCTTCTCTAGGTCTTTCATCTTTGTGGTTTTTCTATGATCTCATATGTGAGGGGAGTGTGTGTGTGTTTTGAGGTGCAGTGTTCTGCACTTCAGGCTGGCCTCAAACTCATAGCAATCCTCCTGCCTCAGCCTCCTGAGTGCTGGGGTTACAGGCGTGTGCCACCACGCCCAGGTTGGCTTTTTTTAGGGGATGCCTGGGATCAGTCTAAGGCCTTACACACACTAGGCAAGCCCTATGTCACTTAGCTAAATTCCCAGCCCTTAGCTTTTGTTTTCTTTTTAATTTAGCAAGGTTAATGTAAGATACAAAACTTTTAATTTTGTAACAAAAGGATAGATGAAAAAAAATAGAAAGAAGAAAAAAGAACACCACACATACCTTGTCTATTGCTGGTACAACTATAA